GCTAGATGACTGATTAACCTTTGCCCAAGAATATCCCAGTTAACAGAGTAACAGATTGGATGATAGCTGATAGATTCATCCACTGCAATGACCTTTTGGATGAGATATCTTGGGGCAGAGGTTTATCAGTGAAGATTGGTAGACAGATTTACTGTTCTCCCTGTCACTTTGGCTTACAGAAAACCAGTAGAACTGAGTTCAGAAATAGCTCAAATGATAAATTACTGGTACAGAACATTTCTACACCACCACTTAAGCAACTTGTCATTTGGGGAACCCAGGTACTTGGGCAACTTATCATTTGGGCAACATGAAAATTGGCCTCCATCAGGTACTCTTCTCAGACATCCTCTCTCCTCTTCTCATATTTGGCCATGCTAACTTTGCCATACTTTAAGAACAGCGATTAGCCAGTTTTTCTGCAAGCAGTTACTGTTGGGTGAGAGTAGAAACAAGCTGGAGAATCTTGCTACAGGTGACAGGTGAAGGGAGGAGGGAAAGATGAAAATGGTTTCAGTAGTGCCAGTGTACTAATTGTATGGAGTAATAATGCTGTGGGAGAAATAACTGAGAGCCAACCATCTATGAATCTTCTGTTGACAGCATGGAGGCATTCCTCATCTTGCTTCTATCCTCTTCCTAGCTTCTTGTCTGTATAGTAGCCCTGTATTCTTACTGGACAGTTCATTGAACAGATGAGCTGCACTCGCTGCTGATACATTTCAAAGTGCTACTAAAAGTGAGGGTGAAGGTTCTTTCTCTGGACTTGAGGGTTGGTTTCTGAATGTTTCATTATCAGGCTAGGTTGTTACTGCAGTTTTTAGTGGACGTCTGTGTGAGTATTCTACTTATACAAGGGCTTCAGGTGTGGGAGTGTCAAGTGAGGGTCTTGTGATGGGCCAGGTGTGAGTCATCAGAGAGGCTTGAGATGGGAGGTACTTCAGGTCAGGGTCGTTGGAGGGTGTGAATTATCACAGGGTCAGAGAGTGAGTCATCAGTCAGAGGCTGATAACAGGCCTTGTGATGGGGAGATTATATCAGGTCAGGGTTATTGGAAGGTAAACTGCTGGGGGGGGGAGGGAAACCAACCCTCAAGCTCGGAGAACAAACTTTCAACCTCACCCTACATCCAAGCTACAGATATTCGCCACTGTTGCAAAGCTACTAAAAGTGCTAGTTATTCTCTATATGACTCAGAGCCAGGGTGTCTTTGAAACCACCTATCCCATAAATTCCAATCCAAGGGCACAGAGAAAGCTTGCTGAAGGACTCCATCTAACAAGAGCTGCAATGTGACAGGAGGGACCCTAAAACAAGCAATTTCTGTGGGGCTCCCCTTCTTTGGGACAACTTGTCCTCTTTGGCAAAGGTAACTTGCATTTTTTCTAGAAGGTAAAAAACATGGCTGCTTTAGAAGGACTTGGGAATTTGAGTGCTGTAGAATTCCTGGAGCTGGGAATGTATTAATTATAATTGTTGAACATAATTATATATTGTATTTTTTCATTCTATAATTGTTTCTTTTAGTCTCCTTGATTAAAATAATTTATAAATAAACCAACCAACCAACCACTTCATTACTAAAGTAGAATTGGGATTGGAAGTATGTTGTTCTTTACAGTTGTATATTTTAAAGCAGCTTCTGCATCGGATAATAGGAGTAGGAGAATCCTTAATCATTGGAAGCTTGTTTATAATGAATTAGATCACTAATCCATCTGCATTGGCATCTTATACAGATATCCTATTTGACAGAAACTTTCCAGTTGTAAATGCTAAATCTATTGCATATGAAACACGGTCTTTCAGTGACTTAATCATTTCTGCAGGTGTTTACTGACCACAGCCAGTCCCTTAGATTTTGAAGCCATGATGTTCTTCTTCTGCCTAGACCTCATTTGCTTTCAATCTTTCCCTGGAGGATTAAATGGAGTATGCCAGTGGTGGCGAACCTATGGCATGCATGCCAGAGGCGGCACTCAGAGCCGTTTCTGTTGGCACATGCACCACTGCCGCCAGCAGCAGGTCCATCAGGCTTCCACCGCTGCCTGGAGCAGGAGCTCTGCCCAGCACAAAGGAGGCAAAACGGCCGACTAGCAAGCTCGAGTAGAAGTGGTAGAGCAGAGGTCACCAACCATTGCCGATTGGTGGACTGGAAGAAAAGGGAGGGGGAAGCATTTTACATGTGTGCATGTGCGCACAGGGCCGCAAGCATGCACGGGCTGCAAATGGGGCGGAGCTAGTGCCTGCATGATACTCACTAGCCCTGCCCTGTTCTTGTGTGGTGCAATACCTTATATCCACACCCCGCCGTGCGGTGGTGGCCATTTTTGCGCCTTGCAGCACAGTGGCCCATTTTTGCGCCCCTGGTTTTTGCATGCCAGAGGCGGCACTCAGAGGTGCCTCCCTGCCCCCCCCCGAGGGCACCACAATGCTGATGCAGCCCTGGCACTTTGTGATAAATAAGTGGGGTTTGGGTTGCAATTTGGGCACTTGATCTCTAAATGGTTCACGATCACTGGAGTATGCCATATTTTTCTGGGTGTTGCATCACATGTCTGAAATATTCTAACTTTCATTTTTTAATTGTTTTGATGATTTCCCTTGGCTTTCCCAGGCGGCTTATCACCTCCTCATTTCTGATCTTGTCAACCCAGCTTATACTTAACAGCCACATGTAAATCCACATTTCAAATGCTTCTAGTCTCTTCAGGTGGCCTTCTGTCAGAGACCAACTCTCTACTCCATAGAGCAGGATAGAAAAAATATAACATCTGACAAGCCTGATTTTCAATCTTAGGCTTATGTCGTGACTGCAGAAGACCTTTTTCATTTTGAAGAATGCTGATCGAGCTTTCTCTATCCCTGTCTTTACTTCAGTGGTCATGTAAATTAGAACCAAGGTGCGTGATCTTTTCAACTTTTTCTAATGGTATTTCTTCCGAATTTATTGGTGGTAAATTAACAGGTTATTTGCTGACAACCATGAGTTTGGTTTTTGAGGTGTTAAGCTTCAAGTCGTATTTTTCAGATATTTCTGTGACTCTGTTGATGAGGAGCTGAACGTCTTCATGCTTAGTGGCAAGCAGAACTGTATCGTCAGCATATCTTAAATTGTTGATCCATACACCGTTTACTTTGATGCCAGCATCGATGTTCTCCAGTGCTTTGTTGAAGATTGACTCAGAGTAGATATTGAACAATAGTGGAGACAGAATACATTCCTGTCTGACCCCTCTTCGTATTTCTGCATCAGCTGAGTATTTTTGGCCGAGTCTCACAATTGCTACCTGATACCAATACAGATTCTTTATGATTTGGATGTCTTTGTCATCTAGTCCCCCTTTTTTCAGGATTTCTAATAGTTTGCTGTGTCTTATTTTATCAAAAGCTTTTTCAAAATCAATGAAGCATATGTAAACACTGTGATTGACATCTCTACAATGCTGTACAAGAACCTGAATGCTGAACAGCGCATCTCGTGTATCAAGATTGTTTCTGAAACCAAATTGTGTGTTACCTAGACGCTCCTTAATTTTGTTGTATATTCTTGTGTGAATTATTCTCAGGAATATTTTCAGGGCATGAGTCATTAAGCTTATTGTTCTGTATTTGGTACACTTCTTTGCATTTATTTTGGGGGGGATTGTCACAAAGGTTGATTTTAGCCAATCATTTGGTATCTTTCCTGTTTCACATATTCGATTGAAGAGCTGCAGAAAAAAATTCTTCCCATTGTCTTCCAGCAATTTTAAAATTTCTACTGGGATATTTATTTATTTATTTATTTAATTTTATTTATATGCCGCTCAATCCCAAAGGACTCAGGGCGGCGTACAAAATTAAAATTATCATCAAGTCCTGTGGCTTTTCTTGTTTTTGTTATTTTTATTGCATGCTCAATCTCCTCCATAGTGATGTTTGGTCCAGTTGTTATACTTCCCATATCTATATCATCCCTAGTGTCTTCAAAAAGTTCTTCAATATATTCCTTCCATCTTTTTAGCTTTTCGTCTTCATCTAAGATAATTTCCCCCTCTTTGTCAACTAAGTTGTTGGTTTCCTCTGCTGCTTCTTTCATTTTTTTGTGTAAATTGAAAATATCATGCATAAGTTCTGCTCTTCTATTTACTTGCATCTCTTTGCAAACTACTTTTCTTTTGCCAGTTGAATTTTTCTTCTAATTGTTTTCTGCAATTCATTGTATTTTTCTTTGTTTTTATTTGTATTAGGATCTTCTTTCATCCATGAGATGAAGAATTTCCTCCACCACCCACTGTTGTTTCTTGTGGTACTCCTGTCTCTGTTTTGAATTTGTTACTTCTACTATTGCATTTTTAAATTTATTCCAGTTCACTTCTACATCTTCATCATTCAGGTTGTTGGTTTCTCTTAAATGATTTTCTAGTTCTTCTTTTATCTTACCTCCATGTTTAATGATGAAGTCTCTGTCAATTCTTGGTTTAGCAGGATTCGGGTTTTTCATCTTTTTTAGTTTCAGCTGGACTTCAGCAAGTAGATTATGATCAGATGGTACATCTGAACCTGGGTATATCTTTACTGATGTTACTGAGTTTCTAAATCTTTTGTTTATTGTAAAATAGACAATTTGGTTCCTTAGTATATTATTTCATGTATCTGCTGGTGATCTCCAAGTGTAGAGGCGTCTTTTTGGCACCTTGAAAAAAGTATTCATTACACATTGCCTATGTTCCTTGCAGAAGTCTACAAATCTGTCACCTCTACCATTTCTGGTTCCTAAACCAAAGTTTCCAACTACAGGAGCATCACTTCCTTCTCCCACTTTTGCACTGAAGTCCCCCATGACTTTGTGATATCATTACTTTTTAGGGTTTTCAGTACACTGCTTATATCTTCGTAGAACTACTCTAAATCCTCCTTTGGGCATAAGCAGTATTATACAAAGCCAAAAACCCAAGCCAAATAAATTAAAGATTAAAAAGGAAAAAGAAAGGCAATACCATTTAATATAGTGTATACCAACACCATTTATTGTATATCTCTATAATTTGATAACACCTTAACTTAACAGTTTCCTCCCCATGCAGAAAAGTGAGATATACAGAGAGGCAGACAGACAGACAGACAGACAGAAAATACATAGATGAGAGAGAAAGAGACAGAGACAGAGAGGTTTTTCTACTGCCCAATTTGGCAATTTTCAGATTCCATATTTTTTCCCTCAGATATTGACAGATTGCTTAGGAGCAAATGGAAATGGACAGTTGAGTGATTTCTTCCAATTTCATTTCAATTTAAATATATGAAAATTAATTATTAAAAAGTGCAGGATGCAACTTTTTGCAGAGAGATGCTCAGCTTTCTCTGATGCTTACTAGAATGACCATGTGGCATGTTGTCATATATTTAATCTGAAAAGTCTCTTGTAAATTTAGTCTCTTGTAAATATGCTGGGCTTTTTTAAAGGGTCAAAGAATTGGAAGTTCCCAGTTTTATTTTGAGAAAAGCAGAAACACTTAGTAACCAAATCTTGTGGCTCCAATTCATCCTGCCATGGGTCCCTCTGGGAGGAAACCGCCAAATTCTCCCAGGAGAATTTATTTTAGGAATTCTTTTACAGTCACAAGTAGATTATTGACTTCTCCTTGTTATTGCCAATGTCCTTTATTTGCCAAGTTGACTCCTACAAAATAAGGCAATGGAGGCTAGTGTGCCCACTGAAATGCTTAGTGAATCCAGGTGAACAGGCTGTAACAGGGATAAGGAAGAGGCTTGTTCAAGAAATCAGCAATGGGCTAAACACATAACCAGTGATAACAGCTCTTAACCCCAGTACTGCATTGCAGGCTTGATGCCTTTTTAATATGTCAATTATAGTCTCTTGACGATCTAAATTAAGTTAGAGAATGCATTGAGAAAGGAAGTTTTTTGCAATCCAATTATCCCCTCCCAATTTTTATGAGCTGCCCCCCCAGCTGTCTGTTGATCTTGCATGTAGATCTCAAAATACAATGATTAGTGTATCCCTTCTCCAAATAACTCTCATGATAGCATTATAGAATTAGTCTCCTTAGGTACAGCATTGTTTTTCTGCAATGTATATATAAAGGCTTTTCAAAAAGCTAGAATTTAGGAACTGATCCTTCAGTGAAATTACTAGCATGTCTTAAGAGAGGGATGTATGGCTTATTGCCATTTTACATATTGAAATTTACATACCTGACAAAGCATTCTTTTAAAGAATATTCAAATATTGAAATGAAGAGAGTTTAATTTCAAAGCATACACAAAATTGAAGTCCAGAATGTCTGGAGGTCCCCTAATTGGAAAAGCCGATTATGCCTCAAAATAGTTGAATAGTAATATCTTTCAATTTAATTTCATAATTTTTTATACAATGATATAGCACAATATATAAGCATTTTTAAGAGCCAAATACTTTAGTTTCATAGCATAGTAAACACAAACCGTAAGTCCATCCCAAACATATAGCTTCAGTTTACAATTTATGCAACGGTTTTTAATGAAAGCAGCAAAGAGTGATAGAATGGGGCTTTCTTCTGATTCAGATTCCGTCTTCCTGAGAGAGAAATAGAAAAACTGCAAATCCTCATAAGTAGTTCCTGTTTGTGATTTGAAGATGGATCTGGCTCTTGGTTGATGCCAGGACAAATAAAACTTTCCTTGCATTTTATTTTGCCAGAATGAAGCATTAAAGATATATTGAAAACAGAAACCCCTCAACACTCCATAGGTTGATGAATTATATCTCCCAGTGTAGTTCAGCAATACTTGGAAGATGCAAGCTACTTACTCTTAGATTATATGAATGCTGCAGATTCTGAAACCTTTTGGTTCTGTTTTGTGAAACACTGGATTGCTGTGCTTCTGTCTGGCTGACGAAAAAACCACATTTGAATATGTTCCAGATATCTGCTCTTCCAGTTTCATTCACAAAACAGTAAAGAATTGGGTCGGCTATACAATTTAAGCTTGTCAAGGCTGTTGTAATTCTATAAGGTACAAACAGATAATTAACATAAGAGCAGTCAGGCGACTCCAAGATACTGCGCAGAAGCAGGACAATATGATATGGAGTAAAGCAAAGAAAAAAGGTTATGATGATGCTTAGTAACAAATGATTGATTTTCTTCTTGTCACAGCCTTGAGTTGCTTGATTGTGCTTCACAGCCTGATATATTTTGACGTAGCAGAAGATCATGACAGCTAATGGGAATGCATACCCCACACAGATGCGGTAATAGTTGAAGTAAGCTTGCCATTGTTGTAGAGGATATGTGTCATAGCATAAAGTATGAGTGCTTTCATTTGCAACTTTATAATAGAATTCAGTGTTAAATAAAATCTGAACGTTTGACATTATTTCAAAAACCCAAACTAAAAAGGACATCAGCAGGGCAAATCTTCTTGTTCGCAAAGAGTGGAACCTCAAAGGATGAACTATGGCTAAGTACCTATCCATGGAGATGCAGGTAAGAAATCCTGAGCTGGTGTAATAATTTACATATCGGAGAAAAGCAGATAATTTGCAAAGCTGTAGGGAGAATTTCCAGTCATCCCCATTCTGAGCATAATAAATCCATAATGGTAGTGTCATAGTATATAATAGGTCAGCTAACGATAAACAGAAGAGATAGATGCCCAGCTCACTTTTTTTCTGGATTTGACAGCAGGAAATGTAAAGTGATAGTAGATTAGCAGGAATGCTGATAATCATCAGAATACCATAGAGACACGGAAACAAACTTTTATCTAGTTTGTCATAAATACTGCAATTAGTAAAATTCATTATTAATACTGGCTGGCTCAACTGGGAAGGAAAAGCACAGAAGTTTATGTATTTTTCATGGCTTTCATAGGTGGAGAGACAATGAGATTCCTGTTCTTTGGATTATAACTGTTCAGTTAAAAATTCCATCATTTAGGCTGCAAAATAAAAAGAAAAGTTTCAATAGGCTATTGAGCTACTTTGAGAAAATTTCAAAGCATTTTTTAAAGTAATGAAATAATATATCCTCCCCTCCTTCCCAACCTGGCAGATGACTTCAAATCCATTTCTTTCCTTTTTAAAAAATGTATTAAGAGAAGAAAAGCTGGATTGGCTATAGAACTAAATAAAGGATTGGTACATAAAAGGCAAGAAAAAACACCGAAAAGAAAAAAATAGTATTATATACTTTGTTATTCTTTGGCAGTACTCAGAACCACATGTAAAAGGAATCACACAGCAATGAAAAGCTACTTAGCTGCATTGAGCCAAATGGGAGAAGACATACAGGCAAAATAGTCCTACAGACTGCAAGTTCCTCTTCCTTGAGCTAAAGTGTATCGTGGTGGAAGAATAACTGTTTGTCTCCACTATTTGCATATAAATAAAGATGCTATTGCTTTAATTTTGGCTTCTGCACTAAGCAATGGTCTGGACTTGATGGCCTAAATGTTCTTTTTCAACTTAAGGGATACAATAATTTTACTAATGGTTGCTGCATTTCATATATAGGAATTAAAAGAAAGCATTCAGAAGGGCCAGGAATGAAGATGTGCAGAGTTTGTATACATTAATGTTTAAACATTTGTCACTCCAGAATTGGCATATTATGAAAGAAATGTACAAGCTGGAGAAAAATGTTCATTTCCAAACAACTGAATATTGTGAATTTGTTGAAACTTGAAAAAAGATGGCTTTGCTAGAGTGGCATCAATTAATATCATCTGGAAGCAACCTTGAAGTATTAACAGTGCTATTATGGAGAACTACAATTTGGCTTCTAATAATTTTTAGCCTAGTAAATAGGCTAAACTTAATATAAGCATAGCTTACTTTTCTGTTTCTTCCCCTACTTACAAATCATCAAACTGTTAAATTGGAAGTGACATAAGAGGTCCTCATGTGCAACCCATCCCCCACCTAAGGCAGGATTCACTATACCATCCCTGATAGATGACTATTCAGCCTTTGTTTCAAAACATCCAGTAAAGGGGAAGAAGCAATTCTATGTGTTAAACTGTTCCACTGTTTGAAAGTTCTGACTGACTTCCTAATGTCTAATCTGTACCTACATCCTTGACACTTCATCCCATTAATTCTAGTCTTATCTTTTGGGAAAGAATGTAGTGGAACTTATCTAGAAGAAGTGAGAATAAGCCCAAACCCTCTACATTGTGACAGCCCTTCAAGTGTTTGAAGACAGCCATCAAGTCTCCTCAAAGCCTTCTTTTCTGCAATCTAAACATACCTAGTCTTTTAACTGCTCTTTGTAGATTTCCAGTCCTTTCACCATCATGGCAGGCCTTCTCTGGATTTACTCCAGATTATCAATGTCCTTTTTAAAACAGGGGTTTGCAGAAAAGAACACAACACTCCAAGTGAGATCTGACTAAGGCAGGGTAGAGTAGGATAAGTACTTTCCACAATCTGAATTGTGTGACACTCTTGATCTTCTTCAAGGTGTTGCTGTCTTCACAACTGCATTACACTGTAGAGACATGTTGTATTTGTGATCTATTAATGCAACCAAATCTTCTTACTTGCACAACCTTTGAGAAGATTTTCTTCATTCTGTATGTTTTTTTGTTCTTACCTAGATGCATGATTTTATATTTTGACATTATATTTCATTATAGTTGTTTCTGCTCATTGTTTTCCCCACTGTCCTGCCAATTATTAACTAATCCTCCTAACTTTGTATCATCAGCAAAATTGATAGGCATTCCCTCAAATCCATATCATTTACAAAAACATTGAGCCACACTGTACCCAAGACAGAGCCCTATAGCACCTTGCTTGAGATGCCTCTCCAGGTAGATTTGATCTCTTTTTAGTACGATCCTTGAGCCAATTGTGAATCCATCTAATAGCTGAGTTGTCAAATCCATATGGTTATGATTTTGCTATTAAGGATTCCATGAAAAACTTTTTCAAAAGCTTTGCTGAAATTTAAATTCACTATATCTGTGGCAACCCAACCAACCAGTACGTAGAACTGAAGAGTCTTGGTAGCCTGTCAGTCACATCTTGAATTGCAACACTTGGAAAGCAACATACCTTACACAATGTCTTATGAAGTGTTTACATAGCAGCTTCAGTACTTGCCTGGCTGACTTAGTTGTGTTTATGGACTGGCTTTCTTGTTTCCTCATTTTAGCAATCCTTAGAAAATTATTGTATATCACTTGATACAGATACTTCTTCACTTACAACCATGATTAAGATCTGAATCTTCAGTCAGTGACCAAAGCAGTTGTTATGAAGATGTCATTTAATGTCATCCTGGTTGAGATTGTTAAGTGATCTCCTAGGTCGCTAAATGAATGGCGCCAAAGAGCTGCCTGCCAGAGGGACTCAGCCCTGTGTGGAGCTGAATCCCTCCGGCAGGCAACCCTTTTGCTCTCAAAGAGGCTGGTTTGAAAGGTCCATCCAAAAATCTGAGCAGGATTTTGACACAGAGTGTTTTCAGCATGAGGCATGAGTGTTTACAATACAGAGTGTTTGGATCCAGACCCCAGAGACAAGAAGTATCCCTCTGGCTTGGGGTGGTGGTGTTTTAAATGCTCTGTGCCAAAATCCTGCTTCAATTTTGGGACAGACCTTTTTCAGCCAGTCCCCAGAAACCACAGGGAGTCCCCTTAGCAGGTGCCAACAACTTTCAGCCTTGAGTGCTAGCTTTCCCATTGGCTTTCTGGGGAAGCCAGCAGGAAAATTGCAAATAGCAATCACATGATCACGGGCTACTTGGCAACCAGTTGTGTTTGTGAATGGGTTGCCAAGCAACCATATCACAATTAGGTGACCATGGTGGTACTGCTATGGCCAGAACTTCAGCACAAGTTGTAAGTCCCTTTGTTCAGCACCACTGTAATTTTGAACGGTTGCTGAACAATGGCAGTTAAGTGAGGACTAGCTGTATATCTATGAACCTAAAAAAGAATCTGCTTGCATTTAAGTAATTCTATAGTCCACACAAGGCTGCAAAATGCAGGACCAAAACATATTCCAGCCTCTGACATCACTCTTTTTGCTTATTTGACAGACCAAGAGCCCTTGAGAGCTTGAAAAATTCTGGCTATGATTGAGATATATCGCTAGAGGGAATTTTTCAGACTATTTCCCTAGTATTAGACATTTTCTGTTTCTTAATATCATAACAAAAGAATGAATATGCTTATTGAAATAAATAATTTAAACAAAAAGAGAAAAAAACATGGAAGTAAAAACCAGGAATATGTATGTGATGGGAATGGTATGGGAATAGACTCATAAAGTATGAGGAGGTAGAAGTATCAGCCATATGCAACATTTTTTTTCCATTCAGTCATGTCTGATTCTTGTAGACTGCCTGGACAAGTTCCTGCAGTTTTCTTGGTAAGATTTTTCAGAAGTGGTTTGCCATTGCCTCCTTCCTAGAGCTGAGAGAAAGAGACTGGCCCAAGGTCATCCAGCTGGCTTTATGCCCAAGGTGAGACTAGAACTCGCAGTCTCCTGGTTTCCACTTTTATGCATTAACCACCACACCAAACTAGCTTTCGCAAAACCTTTATAGGCCTACTAAATAGGCATTACTATGACAATAACTACAATAATGTTCTATTTTGTGATGTGTTTTTTTAATAAGGAACAATTATATCTGTTTTAGGCTAAGAATGGTTTATTTTCATTTCAGATTGCAATAAATATGATATTGGCATAATCTTAATGGAATGGGGGAATGATCTTGGGAGAGTGGCATAGGTGTAAGATGATGAGATAATAGGTTTAAAATATGGCTTATAGTTTAGATTATGGAAAGGATCTGAGCATTTTAGTAAGACACAAGTTGAACATGAGCGAAAAATATAGTATATATGGACCCAAGAATATAGTATATATGGTATATTACCAGTGGTGGGATTCAGCTAGTTCACATCAGTTTGGTAGAACTGGTAGCTAATTTTTTGTTGACTTTGGTGAACCGGCTGATGCCCTAGCCCTTTTTCACAAGACTCAGAACGGACCTCAGGAAGTGCATGGACACCACTTCTGGAAGTCTGTTTTGAGCCAGGGAGGCCTCCCAGGCCCAGAATGGCCCACTAGAAGTGGCGTCCATGCACTTCCGGCGGTCCGTTCTGGGCCTGGGAAGCTTCTCTGGCTCAGAACGAACTTCTGGAAGTGACGTCCACGCACTTCCAGTGGCCCGTTCTGGGCCTGGGAGGACTCCCTGGCTCAGAATGGACTTCTGGAAGTGGCAACTATGCAGAAAACCGGTTGTTCAGGTATTTGAATCCCACCACTGTATATTACCAACAACATTCAGTGCAGATCATAGTAAGTAATCAGTCCATTCTATTCTGCCTTGGAATATTATGCCAGCTTTTGAATTAGATAGTTGAAACTACAACCAAGTAGATTCAGGTTATATAACATAAAGAATTTCCTTATGGTTACAGCTGTCAATCAGTTCTGTGAAAATGTGGTTCCTCTTCAGTGGAGGTTTTCAAATAGTAGATTGAAATACTTTGGCAGATTCTGAGCACTGGGCAGGGTGAGTGACTTCCATAAGTCCCCAATTCCTAATTAGGAGGAGACCAAAATGATGAAACCTCCTTAGCTCTAAGGTTTCTTCCAATTCGGTGGTACTGATTTTCTGAACTGCAAATCATTATCAAAATACAAGGTTAGCATGATGATGATTCCAGGACATCTACAAAGAGACTTAAGAAATATTTCTGACTGGAATCTTAAACAACTATGTCATTAATCTAAACCAGAATATCTATGGTGTTTTATGTGCTATTTGAAAGTAAATGAAACTAAATATATACATTGCATGCATTAGGTACACATATTTTTAAATAAAAATGGCTAAGATTTTGAGATTCTAGCAATTCTGTATAAGTTGATATTATCATTTGTCAAATTCTCAGTGGTCTTATATGAGAACTCAGGAATGATCCCAGAAATGAGAGCTGCAAATCATTGAGTGATTTGGGGCCATTTTTAATTTTAACAAGGAAAGTCAAATCTCTTAAGAGCTTTGAAATGGCTTGCTACTGTTTTCCTCTGGGTTCTTTTCCAATGCCTACAGCCCTAAGATTTCCTGATATCCAATCAGGGTAGATCCTGATTTCTAGATTTCTTCTAGAGCATCCAAATTTGGCTTGGTACTTCTTCCATTTCCTACTCTTGTCTAGTGGGAGACATGTGGAAACTCGCATGCAGCTTTACAACAGGTGTAACAGGCTTATCATTTAAAACAAACCAAACTAAACTATTGAAGAACTGCCTCCAAGCCGATGACCACAACTACATGGGTCATGGCCCACTAATTATAGTCTCAGACCTGGGACTATGAAAATTTTCTCACCCTTGCTTTAGAGAGATTGATGAAAGAAAATCTGCCTGCTTGACTCCTGGCTCCAAAAAGAAAGAAAGAAAGAAAGAAAGAAAGAAAGAAAGAAAGAAAGAAAGAAAGAAAGAAAGAAAGAAAGAAAGAAAGAAAGAGAAAAGAAAAGAAAAAGCTCACTCAGTCCCTTATGTTACAATATATTATTTTATAGCTGGTAGCAAGATCTCTTAACAATGCAAAACTCTGATGTGGTTTCCAAATCATCAGTAAAGTATGACTAATATAATTATATTTAAAAGTCACAGTTCCAGTTACGGCAGTAATAATAATTGATATTATAATGGTCAAGAGGGAATAATTTTCCTTACCTTTGAACTAAAATTGACTATTGTATCTCTTACTTTTTATGCAGATTCTTGTTCCAATTTTTCAGGAAACCATGCTGAAAGGTACAATTTGAGAAATGTGGTTCTGCTTCTTTGCATGTTTGAAGTGTCTGATTAAATTTGATTCTCACAGACAACAGGAAACTGTTGTGGGCAGAAAAAAAAAGGAGAAGCCGTCCAGGGAGGAGACGTTTAGCTCTCCTACCCCTGCCCCCACCCCAACATTCTTGAAAAAAAATTCCAGTTTTGCTTAGGAGGTCTCGTATTTGTTATTTTATTCTGTAGAGTTATTCTCATCCAATTTTTTTACTCACATATTAAAAATAAAGCACCAATACATACTGTAGCACAATATAGAGTTTTATCAAAATTAATGTATAATTTTATCTATCTTTATCTACATCCTCTAACCCAGAGGGATCTTCCTGTGCAATACTAAAACATGAAAGCCTTACATATTTGCCAAGGTAAAGAAAGCTTGTCAAATGCTCTGATGCACAGCAGATTATTCACTCCAGGATTTTAAAAAAGTTTTAAAAGTTTGTTCCCCACCTTCCCCCAAATTATCCAAAAATTTGCATTGTTGCCGTTCAAACTTGGTTTAGTATCAAATTCGGCCTGATATCTTTTAATGTATGTATTTCTCAAATAGGCTCTTATCTGGCACAATGACTTATTTGACTGCAATTCAACACATGCATAGATGTGCTTGCTCATTGTTAATGGTCCTAGCCATTTGTAAGTAAGTCTGTGGGCATTTTAAGAAATGAGAATACTATTATGTTACCATAGTGTACGACTAATGTGGAAACAGCTCAGTTCTGCCTCAAAAAAATTTGCACAATTCCACCCAATTCACAGAAAGAAAAAGAAGAAGCTACACTTCTTTTAAACAATGCAAAACATCAAGGTTTATTATCTGGGGAAAAAAGATTTTTTAAAAATCAGACTCTTCTTAGAACTATTATAAGGTCAAGTCTACAATGAAATAAGCTGTTGTCTGGAACATTTCTATTTATTATATTCCATTCAACCCCTCATTTTCTCAAGTCATTCAACATTTTGTAGGCTTTTCCTAATAATTATATTTAAAAAATTCTTCCAGCTTTTTATGTTCTCAGCTCTTACAAACCAGTGGAGAGGATATTAGTACTGATTATTTTATTTACAGAGTTTATGGGTTTCTTCAGTTATCTAGATGCTGGATGGCAGAACACTCCCCGGATCAAAACAAATACATAACATGCAAAAATTAAAGCCAAGTATAAACAATTATATGCACCCAAATTCCAACATAACATCATTGTGGTGTAATAGTTAGAATACAGTATTGCAGGCTAAGTCTGCCAATTGCCAGCAGTTTGATTCTCACTGGCTCAAGTTGATTCAGCCTTCAATCCTTTTCAGGTCAGTAAAATGAGGACCCAGATTGTGGGTGGAAATATGCTGACTCTATAAACTGCTTAGAGAGGGCTGTAAAGCACTGTGAAGCGGTATATAAATCTAAGTGCTATTGCTATTTTAAAAATTGCTCATTCAGAGGACAGGCATACCAATCCCACCATATGTATATATCTATTTGTAGAATTTATATGGCTGCCAATTTCAAATACATAATTCTGGGTGGCAAATAATTCTTAAAAACAGAGTAAAAACAATATAACAAAATAGCCAAGGTGTTATGTCCCGAGCCTTGCAAACGGCTCGGGCGTTTGCAGGCAGTCCCGGGCAGGTGCAAAGCTGCCCGGGACCAGACAGGCTATCGCCAGCGCCGTGCGCATGCGCGGGTGCTGGCGCGGGAAAAGTATCGCATTTACCCGGGAAATGTCTATATAAGAAGTTGGGAGGTTTTGGAAGCTGCAGAAGCCATCTACTTGTAAGCTGAACGCAGAATAAAGAAAACTGAGAACTTCAACTGCTTCTCGTGTCTGCTTCCCGCCACGGACTCAACACTGGCGATGAAGGTGGGATCGCCTTACACCGCCTGGAAAGGAAGAAGTGTAAGCTTACCCAAGTGAGTCCTGAGCGGCGGAACGGCGTCGACTCGGGCAGCTACCGCCAATCCAGTGCGCATTCGGGGGTAGGCTGGCTGATAGACCCTTCTCCTGAAGATGGCAAAAATCGGAAGGCTTTCGGAATTCGACGTCTCACATCCAGAGCGGTGGGAGTCATGCGTAGCCAGGGTGGAGAACTACTTCAAGGCAAACCAAGTGAGGGAAGAGAGCTTGAAGGCTGCCACCCTGCTTTGTGTTTGCGGCCAAGACGCCTTCGACATCGCAGAAATCCTTGCAGCACCTGTTCCAGTAGAGTCTGTAAGCTACGCAGATCTGAAGAAGCTACTGAAGGAGCACTTCCACCCCAGATGTCCGTCATTGCATGGCGCCACACCTTCGAACACAGGGATCAACGGCCCGGTGAGTCGGCCAAAGAATTCATCGCCGCATTACGGAAGGCCGCCAAGCACTGCGAGTTCAAAGACCTCGAAGAACGACTGAGGGACCGATTCGTGTGCGGGTTAAGGCATCGAGATCTACAACAGAGACTTTTCACTAAAGAAGAATTGTCCTACCAAGATGGCTTAAGGGAAGTCACCGCAGAAGAAGCAGCAGGCGGCGCTGTCAAGAACATGCGGCCGATCAGAAACAGTCCAGAGGTTGCATCCGTGCACCAGGAAGACATCCAAAGAAACTCCGAGGAGGATCCGGACGAGAAAGTCGACCGTCTCCACCCCACGAAGGAAGAAAAACAGAAGGGAAGCTCTCCAGCTCCGCTCAAGTGCATCGGCTGTGGAGGTCGCCACAGGAGAACCGACTGCAAGTTCCGCTCCGCTACCTGCCGGGCATGCGGCAAACAAGGACACATTGCAGCTGTGTGTCTGGGCCGACGAAAGGTACAACCTCAGGAAGAACTGCGCCTGAAAGGTACCAGATTCCCCAGCCAGAATAGGGTAGGGTTTTGCGCTTCGCGAAGAAGCATCCTTAGGACAGGCACACATAAGCCCATTAAGAAAAAGCTGTCACTCAAGGTGAAGCTACAAGGGGTTCCATTATCTATGGAACTAGACACAGGGTCTGCCTTTTCAATTATCTCCTTGCATACATTTCGGAAGATTTGTTCCGGTAGTGGAACTCAGGCCAAGTTAAGGCCTTCTGACATTGTGTTAACAGATTTTCAAAATTCAAGAGTGTGTGTTAAGGGGGAGGCCACCCTTAACGTGCAATACAAGAGTTTTGAAGGTCCACTAGACTTATTAGTAGTAGGGGGTGAACGAAAGAGTCTCATAGGACTCGATTGGTTTGAGGCCCTGGGGATACACGTCACAGGACTCAACAGTTTACAAACACTCGACCTACAGGAAGTCTGCAAAGAATTTGCAGATGTTTTCAGCCCCCAGCTGGGCACATTCAAAGGACCCCCTGTGTCCTTAAAGCTAGACCCCACTGTCACTCCCATTAGAATTAAAGCAAGAAGGGTCCCTTTTGCTTTAAAGAGTAAAATTGACACTGAGTTAGACAAACTGATCCAACAGGGACTCCTAGAACCTGTTGATTCCAGCCCTTGGGAGACCCCCATTGTCACGCCTCTAAAGGCAAATGGGGACATTCGCATTTGTGCTGACTACAAATGCACTCTGAATAAGGCATTGCAGCAACATGCCTATCCTGTTCCTGTGGTCAGTCATATTCTTGCCTCCCTCAAGGGGGGGCGCGTTTTTGCAAAGCTTGACCTAGCTCAAGCGTATCAACAGCTGCCTGTTGATGATGATGCTGCTATAGCTCAGACTATTGTGACCCACAGGGGAGCCTTTAAGGTAAAAAGGCTGCAGTTTGGAGTGAATGTCACTCCTGGGATTTTCCAAAGCGTAATGGAAAACACACTGCGGGGCATACCGGGGGTTTGCCCCTACTTGGATGATGTCTTAATTGCAGGAGACTCCACACACATTCTAGCTGAAAGGCTAAGAGCTGTTCTGTTAAGATTCAGGAAATCAGGCCTCAAGCTCAAAAAAGACAAATGCATGATTGGGGTGCCTTCTACTGAATTTCTGGGGTTCAAAATTGATGCTGCTGGGATTCACCCTGCTGAATCCAACTGACTGCTATTTTAGAAGCACCTAGGCCAAAGTCCAAGGCCGAACTTCAGGCCTTCCTGGGCCTCCTGAATTTCTACAATTCTTTTCTTCCACAAAAAGCTAGTGTAGCTGAGCCTCTTCACAGGCTACTAGACAAGCAAGCAGTGTAGCAGTGGTCATAAACGCATGAGGGTTGTTTTAACAAAGTCAAGGCTTTGCTCACTTCTAACAGTGTACTTGCACATTTCAACGAGTCTCTTCCTGTGTGCATCGCTTGTGATGCGTCCCCTTACGGGGTTGGAGCTGTCCTGAGCCACCTCAGGTCCGATGGAACTCAGGTTCCTGTTGCATATTACTCCAGAACATTGTCTTCTGCTGAGCGCAACTACGCTCAGATAGACAGGGAGGCTCTGGCTGTTGTTGCTGGAATTAAAAAATTCCATGACTTTCTATATGGCAGGCATTTCACGTCTTCACTGACCATAAGCCTCTGCTGGGACTGTTTACCACATGTAAGCAGACTCCCCAAATCATTTCCCCTAGAATGCTTAGGTGGTCTATTTTTTTGTCTGCATATGATTTTTCTTTACTCCACAAGCCTGGAAAAGAAATGGGACATGCTGATGGCCTCAGTAGATTGCCTCTGCCAGTAGTAGAAGCTGACCCTGCGCCAGCTGTCAACATTCTATCAATCCAAGCCTTGCCCGAGCTCCCTCTTAGTGCCAGGGATGTTGCCGCTGAATCAGGTACATATCACACACTTTCACGTGTCCGTTCCTGGGTTTTGTCCGGTTGGCCTGAGCACTGCCCTAGTCCTGAGTTTCAGAGTTTCTGGTCCAAAAGGAACGAGCTGTCCCTTTCTCAGGGTTGTCTGCTTTGGGGAAAAAGAGTTGTCATTCCCACCTCAATGAGGACTAGGGTCTTAGAATCACTTCACGAGGGTCATCCTGGCATTGTTCGTATGAAGGCCCTTGCGCGCAGCCACTTGTGGTGACCTGGTTTAGATAAAGATATTGAGGCTAAGGTGCATGCATGCCACCTGTGCCAACGATCTCGCCCAGAGATGCCCCAAGCTCCCGTGCATA